AAGCTGGAAAAATATACTGTCTGAAGGGACACCTACATGGTCTTGTGTTGGAGAATAAAAAGGTAGTCCCAAATTTATAGAAATGCCCAGCAATTTCATAATATAGTTCCTTTCACTACATTTACTGAAACACAATATATGTGATTTTTGTGTCCTAGGGTACCTATACAAGCCTACTTAGCCCATAAAGAAAATAATATATATATATTTACAACAAACAGTAGATGATAATACTACTGTGTATACTTGCTGAATGAATTAAAGATATGAGATGAGACTAGAGCAGGCATGAAGGAAAAATACCTATCCCCCAAAACAGAGATAATCATCCAGGAGACAGATCACAAATCCAAAGATGCAACTTATTTCAAAAGTCCTGGTTGCTTACACATATAGATCTCTCTGGAAGGGAAAACTAACTTGTAACATTTCCTTTTCTTGATCTAAGAAACTCATTTAATGTTTTTACTGGCTAAAATGAGCAATTTAGACTACCCATTCTCCATACAACTTGCCCACTTACATTAATTATATTAACTTTTCAATACTGTGGAGACTCCCTTGTTGAGGTCTGATCTCCGTATATACAAGTTCCCACAATCCTCTCATTTATAAGAGCCTCTAATATGAATTCACTCACTGATTTTTCCAAGACTTTTCCACACTCATCACACTGGCAGGGTTTCCCTTTAGAGTGAATTATGCAATGCTGAAGAAAGCATCTCCACATTCATCACGTTTATGGTGCGGATTCTTTGGTGCACAGTCAGTTCTGGCTTCTGGGTGAAGGTCTTCCTACATTCTTCACACAAGTTTGTATAAGGTTTCCTTGCTGAACAAAGGCCTCCTCAGTTATCATATTTATGCAGTCTCTCTCTCATGTGGATTCTTTGATGTCAAATAAGGTCATGTGGCTGAAAACTTTCCCACATTTCTTATGCTGACAGCATTTTTCCAGTGGTGGTTCTTCTGTGGGGAAAAGAGGGTTCCACTACAAACAAAAGCCTTTCAAAACTTGTTGATTGCAGAGATTGCAAAGAGATTCTCTTCATCGTGGACTACATGATGCTGAGTAATGACGCACCAGAAACTAAAGCTTTTACTACACTTATTGCATTGATGTTGCAGTTCTACAGACATTCCCCCCAATAAAATTCAGCATCTCCAGATTTTTTTTTTTTGTTTTGGAGCCAAGTCCTTAGTTTCCTTCTCAGTAACACCATCTAAAATAAAATGCACAGACAATTCAAATGTCAGTTGTCTCTTCTGAAATGAAATTTATGATAGGGTACAGTGATTAAAAATAAAACCCACTTTTACCTAAAGTGCATGCCTTTTCTAAGTCTCTAAACAAGCATCTCATTTTTGTGAAGGCACGTGGCAGGGCAGGAGTAGAGGGGTCCAATTTGGGTGGGAAGAGACAGCTAGGCAGAAAGAAACTGGAAATGCATGGAAGACTTTTCACAAAATGTGACAATAAAAGAAACCAGGAAAGCGTAATCAAAAAAGTTAAGAGAAGATCAGTTTGAATCCAAAGCTGAGAAACAAGGAATATCATGAAACCAAGAGAAAGTTTAATTTGTTAAGGACAGTTAAAAGGACTATTTCTACTCACTGATAAGTATCTTGACTACTACTATAGACCTACAAAATGTTCAGTAAATATTTGTTGAGTGGATCAGTAAACAATGGGATATGATCAAAGTTAACTCGAAACAATAGCTAAACCAGTTTCAAAATACATACTAATCTGATGTGGGGAAATCAATAAACTGGAAAATTTACAGTGGGGTAATAGCTTTTCTAGGTAATATTCATGTCTAAAATGTAAGAAAGCAACATCTTGAAGTTAAAGGAGTTAAGTGAGTCAAAAAACAAAACCCCAAGCCCCTACAAATATGGCTGAGATTTTCTACTTAAAGAATCAGGTAGACAATGAGAAGGAGATGAGTAGAGACAAGGTTTCTAGGGAGAGGATTCTACTAAAAGTTCTAGAAGCTTCCCCTGTGAGGCTCTCTTCTTCTTTCTCTCCAGAGATGCTCTCTCATCAACTTTCCATATCAAAAGGCAACAACACTGAGAGGTAAACTAAGATAGGATCTTAGGTTTGATCTGAAACCTTTGATTCCAAGGTACTATCTTGACCAAAAGCATATCTTGTTCTATCTTTTAGCCTAAGACCCAAAGGCAATGTGATAAAATTGGTCTTGGGAAATGGAATTTGAAGCTAACCCCTAACTTAAAACACCCAACAAACAAAAAACCCAATATAGAAAGAGAAGGTCCCAGAGATGCACCTTAATAGCAGGAGAATTAAAGCCTGCTATTTATGGGAAATGCTGGGTTATGGTTCCAGAGACATCTGGTGGATCTTAAAGTTCAGGTTTGCTGCTTTCTATCCTATTCCCAAAGCCTTTTGCTAGTCCAGCTATAAGTGATCCTCCCAACCTTTCCCACCTGTGGTTTGCCCTTCATTCAAGCTGTCTCTTCAGCTTTTCCAGCATCATCGATTGCTTCCTCTCCACATTCTGGATGACATAATCCTACCTATATCTGCAGCTTCACAAGTAGGAGTTAGGACCTGTTCCAGCACCTGTTTCATAATATGTATTTCTGGTCTCAGGAGCTACTGGCAAAGCTTCCTAAGTCTTCTGACAGCTCTGTAAAGTCCAAGTGGCTTTTTCCAATGTTGGCAAACCTTCCCAAGTCCTCTGACAGCTCTGTAAAGTCCAGGTAGCTATCTCCAGATAGTAACAATTTGAAGTTTGAGGAAAGACCTGTGATTTCTTTCCCAGCCTGATTCTTTGTTCTAGGCACAGCCTTCTTCCTTTACCATCAGTCACTATTAGAGATCTTTCCTGCAACAAGATTGCCATTCTGGAATGAGAGAGCTCAAGAGAAGATTCACTCCAGCTTGGGGTTCAGAATGATTTTTCAGAAGTATTTCCTTGTAGCTGGTCTTCCTCCTGAGGCATAAAATAACAATGTTAACAGAAGCTGAATTTTGTTTACCTCTTTAGCCAATCACTCACTCATCTGAACAAGGCACTGAAAGAAAACGGAACTCTGTCAGGAAGATAATTAAATTAGGAAAGAAGAGTGACTGCAAATTATTAGCTAGCCCCATCTGCTAGCCTTTTACTCTCTAAAAGTTTTTATTAATAAAACTTTAAAGATCATGACCTTCTTCCCTTGGCTCCCCCCCCCTCCCACTTCAAAATATCCCATATAAACGGCAGAGATAAGAACATCGGAAATGAAAAATAACAACAGCTAATATTTACTTAAAATGCACCATGCATGCAGCCATTTAAGTAGACACTTATAATCTCACTGACAGATGAATAAAACTGAGGCACACAGAAGTTAAGTAATTTGCTCAAAGTCACACAATAGCTAGGTGGATTCTGTCTTTTCTTGTACTCAGCGTCGATCTTGGGAAAATCATGAATCACATCATTTCCCCAAATGAACCCAACTTTCTTTCACCAAACAGGGAACCCGGACTCCCTTTTCTCAACAGCCAGTTTTCCTTACACCTCAAAACTTGGAAGTCACCCTTAACTTCCCCTGGCAGCTCTCAACCTATCAAGCCCAACTTCACCAGAGACACTGAACGGCCAGAGTGCACGAACCTGGGACCACCCCACTCCTAAAGGTCCGTCACAAAGGTCAGAAAGGTCGGTACTTTCACGTCCCGCCGCCGTCAACGGCTGTCTCAGCATTCAGCTTCTCTAGGATTCTGGAGGCTTTCTCCTCTCTGTGGTTGCCCGGCCGAACCCCGCGCCAGCTCAGGAGCGCAAGTTTCAGCTGAGCAGTCAGGTAAGCCCAGGTGCCCATGCTCCCAGGCCGGGGCGCGTCTGACCCGCGCGAGGCCGGCCTTCCAGCTGCAGAACGTGGGAAGAGTAGTTCCGAAGGCAAACTGAGGCTATAGCACGGGCTGCTAGGTACCTCTGATAACTAACAGGGGCGGAGACAAAAGGGAAGAAATCTCTCTTCCCAGCTTGGGCGGTATAAGTGTCCCCTGCTGGCCACTGCTCATTAGTTCTCCAGGCAGGAAAGTAAAAGTATACCTGGGTGGGAGCTTTTATACCAGGGCTAGGAGGACTGCAGCAGTCTGGGAAACCTGCAGCATGGTTAAAGGTAAATTTTGACCTGGGGCACTGGCATCTAGAGACAATGCATTTGAGAGAGCCCACAGCAACAATCAAAATAGCAGTTGTAAAGCACTAATGCGCCAAGCACTATTCTAAGCACTTTGTAAACTAATTTTATCTACATTGGGTTGGTATTATTATCTTTGTCATTTTACATAGGAGGAAACTGAGGGACAAGAGAGGTTAAATCGCTTGCCCAAAGTCACTTAGCTAGTAAGCTGAGATTTGAACCATTGCAATCTGTCTCTAGAATCCAGGTTCTTAAACCGTATCTCAGGAATAAGTAGGGAATTTGGCCACAGGAAGCTGCAGGGTCCCTAAACTGCCTCAATCTTTATCAGGGATGAAATGCGGAAACATCTACTCCTAAATTCATTACTGAAGTAGGCAGAACTAAGGCACTAAATCAAAACACGAAGATATGCCCACCAAGCTTGAAGAGGAGTAATGGTGATCTAATCATAAATCAGAAGTAACAAATGGCTTCCACTATGGAGCCCTTCTTGGGACTTCCAGAAGCAGGCCACTGGGCTTAGGAAATGACTGGCAGGAACAAACAGACATATACCCTAGAGATCAACTTGAACTATGATAGGTGAAAGCTCTGGGAGCCGTGACTGATGGGTTTCAGACACCTAAATGGTGTTTTTAACGTGTATGAAGAGAATCAACTGTCCATGAAATCAAGGGAAAACTGCTGGCTCTAAATGATGGTCTTACAATGTAAGCTAGGGGGCTAATCCACTGAAAAGCTTAAAACACTTATCATAGTTGGCTCTGTCAACATCAAATTATATACATGAGGCCATATATATAAAATACAAATTACAACACATAAAAATATTCATACATACTTTGTACACATTTATATATATATGTAGAAATACTATACAAGTAAAAAATAATGTGTGAGGACTCCTTTCCAAATACATGCAGAATGTTTGAGAGGGAGAGGATCCAAAGAAATTCCAATAAAATGAGCTGCTATAGTGACTGTGGTATAACTTTTCGGTTTAAAGGATAACAGTTGGGAAGAGATTCAATTAAAGGCTATCGAATGATTATGTCTAGGTTGAACAAGCATTTGCTCAAATTCTGGCCTTGTGGAGTTAGGAGGGACATCATTTGAACAGTAAAACTGGTGAGTCTTAAGCAAAGAAAAATATCATATATCACATATATGTGTGTGTGTACATTTTTAAATCCAAGAAGTATCTTCTAATATAAAATCACTTTTAAAAACTCACATTAAAGATACATCCATCATGGGTTATCAACACTTGGGGACAAATCTTTAAATCTTTCTGTATTAAATTAGACAGCCAAATATTCCTTATTCTGTGAGATTAATGCAGAGTGATTTATGATTCTAAGCTAAGAAGGATGATCTTTTCATATAAAGAGCCCATTTTTAAAGTGGAATGTCTCCTGTGACACCCTCTCTGTGCAGGCAACAAGAAGTAGAGCTATTTATGCTGGCCAAACCTCATCCAAGATTTGGTATGCAGAGGGGGTCATAATACTATTACCTGAGGTGTTTGGACTCCAGGACTTTGTGAATGATTTTTCAGAATATTGACTAGAGATAAAAAGTTTTTACAGATAATTACTCAAGACACTGAATTACCACTGCAACACATGGTTTGTTCAACTGAAATAAACTGAGGAAGTGTATCACAGAAGTTAAAAGTGTGGACTCTTGAAGTGGGCTGCCTGGGTTCAAATCTTGGCCTTACCACATACTAACTCTGGGACCTTGAGCAGCTTTAGCTTATCTATTTCAGTTTCCCCAGCTGAAAGTGAGATGTTGTAAGTAAAGCATTTAGTAATGTCTGGCCCTTAGCAGTTAATAAGTGTGGAGTATTGTCATTAATAAACCCTTTTCTCAATTCCAAAAGATGTTCAATAAGAACAGCTTTGTTTTGACTATAGCAACTCGACAAATAATCTGTATATTAACAAAAAAGACTACTTCTGTACTGAGTACAGGAGTGCAGACTTGTCTACGTTCTTGTATCTTAGTGCTCTCTACAACCAACCTCATTATACAGTTGAGATGTCTCGATTTGGAGCCCTGCTGAATCCCACTGTCCTTCCTCATTAGCTTCATCTCATACCTCAAACTCTGGTAACCTCTTAATACAATGTATTGTTGGAAGGAGGGCCCCATTCTGTTTTCCTCTGCAGTCCCTTCCCACTGCACTCTCTGGAATCAGTTTGTCAGGTTATGTTTTCATTCACAGCCTGAGTTGAAACTCACTTCACTTTTCATTACTTTAGAAACTTGGCTCTTCCCCAACCTCTCCATGCTTTTTGCATTAAACACTTAATATCATGTTTACCTTGAACCAATTAGAAAAGACAAGCCAGTCAATCTTATTCTTGTCCTTAATATTATTTGCAAATTTTATGATTCATATGAGTTTTACACCAGATACTTCTATCTGGCTGTTGTTACAATTGATGACCATTATTTCTACCTTGGACCTGCTTCACTTTCATATTCTTCCTTTCCATCCCACCCCCTGTTATTGTTATTTCAAAATCCACATACATAAAATGCTTCAGAGGTTTCAGGTTTCCTAGGATCTTGTCACTGTCACACCACATCTATATTTTATCCATAAAATGTACTCTTGACTTCATCACAAAGCATTCTCTGTTCACTGCACTCCGCAGTGTAGTACTCCTATTCCATATCTAACATGTCACATCCTCCATTTGCCCCTCAGGGCCTTAAATTTCCCTATATTGCCAATTTAGCTCCAATTAGTAGCCTTATTCTACTATATTTCCTCTTTATCCTGGAGAGCTAGTTTAATCCCCTTTGATGCCTACCTGGAAATTCCATGTCACTCCACCATTTTTTGGTACTACAACTGTATTTAAGCATGAGAAATAACCAGAACAAAACCCCAACATATATTTATATTTTTATTTTATTTTATTTTGAGACGGAGTCTCGCTCTGTCGCCAGGCAGGAGAGCAGTGGCGCGATCTCGGCTCACTGCAACCTCTGCCTCCTGGGTTCAAGCGATTCTCCTGCTTCAGCCTCCCGAGTAGCTGGGATTACAGGCACATGCCACCACACCCAGCTAATTTTGTATTTTTAGTGGAGATGGGGTTTCACCACATTGGTCAGGATGGTCTCGATCTCTTGACCTCGTGATCCGCCCACCTCGGCCTCCCAAAGGTGGGAGGCATGAGCCACCACGCCCAGCCTCCACATTTATTTTTAAACAAGTATGAACTGTACCCTCCTGTAATCGGCATATTCCATTGTTCTGAGTCTTTGTTTATGGCCCCTTTATAATATTAGGTATATAAGAAAGATTAAGTCGCGTGCAGAAAGGCAAATGGAGGAATGTGCGCAATGACAGACCATATTAAGCAGAAAATGAGCTGGAAAGACCCCCAAGTAAAGGCACTGAGAGGAATAGAAGGCAAGTTTAAAACAAGGATTGCATTCCAGTGAGCAGTCAGATTAAAAGAGAGGCTCTGAAGTTACTATGAACAGTAATTTCAGTTTGGATAACAAGTCTATAAAATCAGATTAGATAAGGAGTATGCATAGCATATTTGGTAAGGAGAACATTCTCACACAGGTTCTCATCATTAAGTAAAGTCCCCTCCACTGAGAGGAGTTTCTAACAGTGAAACAGCACAAGAACTAACATAAGTAACTCCATTTTTGTTTAAGGAGCCTTTACCCATTCCTTCATGTAGGCTAATTTTAGAGCAGAGATAATATGCAAAACAGCAATCATGTAGTTTTAAAAACAAACTCTGGGATTAAAGATGTATAACTATGTTTTGTTAAAGATTTACAGGAGCATTGTGACCCAACCAATGACAAAGAAGTTCCCAACCTCCTTGGACTCTTGCTGGCATCCAGATGTCTGTGGTCATAGGTTACCTCTTCATCCCAACTCTATCCTCTTCCTTTTGCCCTTAACATAAAAAGAGCCTAAAATTTGTACTGACTTAAGATGGTACTTTAGGACACTAGCCTACCATCGTCTCAGTTTGCTGGCTCTCCAAATAAATCTGCTTTTCCTCCCACCAACTCTCTTCTCTCCCGAGTTTTGGCTTTGGAGCTGCAAGCAGCTGAACCTTGGTTTGGTTACAAGTTTGCATTCTCATTATGTGAGAAATGGGAGGCAGGGTAAACGTAGGTAGAGCATAGGCCTCACATACTTATAGCTACAGAGCTCCCAGGCTCACTCTGGGTTCCTTGTTTCCTGGAGGAAGAAAACTAGGTTTCCAATCCCAGTTGCCTCAGTGCCTTATGCGTGCAACTCCTATGCTGGGGTTATGAAAAAAACCTAACTAAGCAGTCCTCAACTTATGAGTAAGTTGTTTTTCAACTGTTCATTTGCCTTTCTCTCTCATGAACTCAAGAAGTTTTTTCCACACAGAAAGTCATGTAAGTTCCAATCCCAGAAGTCAATCTGACACCCAATATACCTGAATTATAATACTTAGACCATTATGACTTCTATGGGAATATGTGTTCATATTTACAACTTAGCTAGAAATATAATATTTCTATAGGACCAACGGGCGCTTCTAGTTCCAACCCAGGGATGAAATTCTGTACAGGGTTTATGGCTAGAGAGGCAAGAGACAGTGGCACTAAGAAAATGGGGGTGGGGAATGTATTACAGGAGTGAAGATGGGACAAAGACACAGGACTGTGTAATTAGGTAATTAGGAGTGGGACTTACTAAGGAAGAATGCAGATTACCCTTCTTTTATTTTTCCCCTTCCCCTTTTATCACTGTCTCACCACTTCAAACCCATTGACCAGCTAGAAGTGTGAAGAGAAGAGAGGACTGGACTTGTGTTGGGGTGCAGTAGGAAGTTAGTCCCAGAAATTGTGGAGTTTGCTGTGGCAGGGTAGAAAAGGAAGGAACTAACAGGCCATCTCTGTAGAGATTAAGAATGATTTCCGTAAATAAAAAGACAGATCAGGAGCCATGTGTACTTCTATGTGGCTTGCCTGTTGTCCACTAAAACAATCAAGACAGGTTCTCATCCAAAGCAGAATTTTTACTCAGCAAGACAAGGTTAGAGTCAACCAGTTTTTGGTTCATTTTTCAGAAGCCCAAGGGATAGTATCTCTAATTTGGGGTCCTTTTATGTGCTCAAGAAGTATACAAACCAACAAAATGTAAATCCGTTCTCAAGAGCAATTATTAGGGAATTCAGAACATAGTGGTAACAAGAGATCTGGGAAACAAAAGAAGGTAAAGCGTAAAGCAGAGAAGAGCACCAAGCCCTCCCCTAAATACACAGACAACACAAGGCCTTGCACTCAGAAGACCCTTGGAATGTAGGTCTGTCTCTTTTTCTTTAAATACTTAAATCTGAAGGGACGGAAAGACCACCTTAAAACCCTAGTTTTTGGCATGATGGGGGTCTAATTCCCGGTTTACTCCAAAGAGCTGGTGGCACATGTTCCCTGTAAGGATCTCCTTGTGCTAAAAGTCTGCAGTGGCCTTTAGTTTACAGGACTGTGTTCAGGCTTCCCCACTTTGCAGACAGCCATGAAGTCAGCTGTCATTCAACTCAACATTTCTCAAATTTTAAAGTATATTAAGTAGCTGTGGAGCTATAAAAATGAAGATTCTTAACTTGCATCCTAGGCCTAATGAAGCAGAATGTGAGTGGGATTCAGGGATGTTAAACAAGCCCCAAACGTGATTTTGATGTTCATCAATGTTGGAAGATCACTAGTGTAATGGCCAGGACTAGAAGTCAAGAGACCTGCACTTAGGTTACTGGTCTTTTTCTTTGTGTGGAATTATAGCTGTGTCGCCGTCTTCATAGGCAAGAGTATTCTCATTTTTAAAATGGAGACTGCTTTTGATTTACCAAGGTATTTTAGGAATAAGAAAAGTGCTCTGTAAATGTCAAAGTGCTATAAAGTATGAGATGAAATTATTCACATTCTGGCCTTCTTATAGTCTGTCCCCAAGCTGTTTCCAACTTAATGCTATTGATTGCACAATTTGCATGAACCTTTTACTTCAGGTTGGCTAGTTTTTTCCCTGATGCTTCCAAACCACACGCACTCTTAAGTTGGCTTACATTTGTTTTACCCATTTTCTTCCTTGTGACTGCTAAGTCTGCCCATCAAATCCTTATTTTAAATAAAATCTTTCTTCACCACTCCAGGCAAAAGTAACCTGTCCTTTAGAATTTATAGCACTTACAGGCTACAAAGTACCACTTTTATTCAACACCGACTTGTGCATCTATTCTACTCTCCTGTAGTCTTATTTAACTAAATATGTGGATCTTACCTATCCCAAACTAGGCTATAAACTCTCTGAGAAAAGAGTTTGGGGTTATCTTCTTGTTCTCCACAGCACCTAATACAATGGGCAGCACATACTGAATTCTTATTAAATATCTGAGGTTTCCCTGTAACAATGGTGACTGAAGTTTTACCCCAATAATTGTAAAGCTAAATAGTATTTCTCACCGGCCTGAACTCTGTGAGATAACTTCCCTGTAGTCATCACACAGAAACAGATTTTTCTCCTTTGTGGATAGTCTGATGTTGAGTAAGAGCTGAGTTCTGCCTGAATGATTTCCCACACTCTTTACATACATAGGGACCACCTCTATTATGGATGCTCTGGTGTTTACTAAGATCTGACCTCTGTCTGAAGGCTTTTCCACACTCATCACATTGGTAGGGCTTCTCCCCAGTGTGGATTCTCTGATGCTGAATGAGGCTGGTGATTCCTCGGAAGGCATTCCCACACTCATCACACTTGTAGGGCCTTTCTCCAGTGTGAATTCTCTGATGTTCCGTGAGGACCGATCTTTGAGTAAACGCCTTCCCACACTTATCACATTTATAAGGTCTTTCTCCAGTGTGAATTCGCTGATGTTCTGTAAGACTTGTCCTTTGAATAAAGGCTTTTTCACATACCTCACATTTGTAAGGTTTTTCCCCAGTGTGAATTCTCTGATGCTGAATAAGGCCACTCTGACTGAAGGATTTCCCACATTCCTTACACTGATAGCATTTTTCTTTGTGGTGGATTTCCTGATGGGAAACACGGGATGAGTTATAAACAAAGGCTTTTCCACACTCATTGCACTCATAGGGCTTCGCGCCGGTATGAACTCCTTGATGCTGAGTAAGTATGGAACGCCGACTAAAACTTTTATTACACTGAGTACACTGATAAGGTTTGTCTCTTGTGTGGATCTTGATGTGGTGAAAGAGGCCTGCTTTCTGACTAAAGGCTTTGCCACAGTCATTACAGTGATAGTGTTTTTCTCCTGTGTGAAGTCTCTGATGTTGGTTAAGAGCTGACCACCGGCCAAAGGCTTTGCCACACTCATTACACTTATATGGTTTCTCTCCAGTGTGTATTATTTTGTGTCGAATAAGCACAGTTCTCCCACGGAAAGCTTTTCCACATTCTTCGCATTTGTAGGGTCTGTCTCCAGTATGGATCCTCTGATGTTCTGTGAGGTGTGAGTGCTGACTAAAAGCTTTTCCACAGTCATCACATCCATAAGATTTTTCTCCTGGACAGATTCTCTGATGTTCAGTATGGTCAGAGTTCTCAGTCAGGCTTACTCCATTTTCATCACAGGTAGGTTGTTTATCTTCTCTGGAGCATGCAGAGGGCTCTTCTGTTATTTCTTCAGGTTCATGAGTTTCTCCACACCTAGCAGACTGGGACATATCATTTTCAAATTTACTGGATGTATTCCCATGTGGTTTCATTTCTTCAGAAACTTCTTGCTTTAAATTTCCATACTCATTTCCAGTCTCAACATCTAAAACTAAGAAGGGATCATAAATGTTACCTTTTGTACCTTTAAAATGTATCCATACATTTTAATATTAAGCAGCTGTTAGGAAATAAAAAATGCAAGACTCTACCATCTTAGTGATAAAGAGAGGAAAATATATTTTTTTCAATATGGAAAACATATATGCATCAAAAAAATATTTGGAAGGACACACAAAAAATTAGTAACAGTTACAACCTATTTCAGAGTAGGAGGAAGAGACTAGGTGGCTGGGAAAATCAAGTGGAATAGAAACTTTTCATTAAATAACTTTAAAAATTTTTGTTTTTGAGCCATGTACATTTTTACCTACTTAAAAAATTAAATGAAAATGAAACGGATACAGAGAAAGTAGAAATAAGGTAGTGGATCTTTCACACATTCACAAACTTTTAATATTTTGTAACATTTGTTTTATTATTTTTTCTTTTTTTTTTTTTGAGACAGAGTCTTGCTCTATCGCTCAGGCTGTAGTGCAGTGGCGCGACGTCAGCTCACTGCAACCTCCGCCTCCTGGGTTCAAGCGATTCACCTGCCTCAGCCTCCTAAGTAGCTGGGATTACAGGCATGTGCCACCACACCCAGCAAATTTTTGTATTTTTAGTAGACACAGGGTTTCACCATGTTGGTCAGGCTGGTCTGGAACTCCTGACCTCGTGATCTACCCATCTTGACCTCCCAAAGTGTTGGGATTACAGGTGTGAGCCACCACACCCAGCCTGTTATTCCTTTTCTTTGTAAGTATACAATTTTTTTTTTTTCTTGAACCATCTGAAAGTTAGTTGCAGACATAATGGAGCAAAGTCTTATTTAATGAAGCAGAAAGGATATAGTGCAAGTGGAAGATAGAGGTATTGTCTGATAGGATAAAAGCTAAAAATAGGAAGGAGATAGGCTGGGCGTGGTGGCTCACACCTGTAATCCCAGCACTTTGGGAGACTGAGGCAGGCGGATCACAAAGTCAGGAGATCGAGACCATCCTGGCTAACACAGTGAAACCCCATCTCTACTAAAAATACAAAAAAATTAGCCGGATGTGGTGGCGGGCGCCTGTAGTCCCAGCTACTCGGGAGGCTGAGGCAGGAGAATGGCATGAACTCGGGAGGTGGAGCTTGCAGTGAGCCGAGATCGCACCACTGCACTCCAGCCTGGGCAACAGAGCAAGACTCCGTTTCAGAAAAAAAAAAAGAAAAGAAAAAAATAGCAAGGAGGTCAGTATAAAGAGAGATAATGTATCAGAAGGACTAAATTAAGTGTTAAAGCCAGAATTTAGAAGAATATGAATATACAAGAAAGTAAGGGTTGAAGAGTGACAAACCAGACTATCTGAGAGTCTATGTATGAGCCATCAGATTCTGAGAGGGCCTTTTTGACTTTAATGATCAAAAACAGTAGCAAGTACAAAAAAGCCCCAGTGTCCTATGTTACCCATCTTCCCCTTCCTCCCAAGATGGGTCTTTCTTCTTTACCTTGCTCCTGTTGGGATTCAAGTTCTGGAGATTCATACTTTAGCTGGGCTTTCATGGACTGGAGGGGCATACTGGGTTCTCCTTCTTTTCCTAGAGGTACCATCTTCTGCAAGAACATTTCATGTTCCCCAGTGTGGGCTGAGACCTGAGGAAAATGAGATGTAGCTGACAGACTCACTCTGATAACAGAAAACAAAAAGTATACATTTGTGGCAGTGGCTGAAACCTGAAATGACCATTTTCCCAGATATAAGCCTGCCATAACCCTACCCATTCTTCAAGGCTAATATAAATGTCACCTGCTCTGGGAAATCTTCCCTTCTACACCCAGATGTAATTTCTCCTGTTGTTACCGCTAAAGTATGTTGGTTGTGCCACTTTTACTTCTTTGTCTTATGCTCAAAGAAGTGGAGAAAGGAAAGGGAGAAAGACAAAACAAAGGAGAGAAGAAAAAGGTGAAAGAGGCAGAAAGGAGGAAACAAGATAGAACTTAGGGTAAAATAAAACATTAAGAGAGAAAGAGGAAAAGGAAAGGGGATATGTAAAGATAAATAATGTAGAGAAATAATAAAAAAGAAAGGCACCCTTGGGACGCTATGATGGGAGGATTGCTTGAGGCCAGGAGTTTGAGACCAGCCTAGGCAATATAGCAAGACCCCATCTCTCCAAAAAAATTAAAAATTATCTGGGCATGGGGGCGCACATCTGTAGTCCTAACTACTCAGGAGACTAAGGCAGGAGGATTGCTTGAGCCCAGTTCAAGGTTATAGTGAACTATGATTACACTACTGCACTCCAGCCTGGGTGACAGAGACACCGTATCTCCAAAAACAAAACAAAACAAAAGGTATAAGGGAACAAATGAACGAAAGAAAAGAAAGAAGGTGGGAGAAGAAAGAAAGGGAAAAGAAGGGAAGGAGAGAAATCTCTTCCACATTCATTCCTAAGCTGTTCCCAATAGTCTCTGCTCTTCTGAGGTGTCCATCCCACTTCTCTCTGGGAAGATTATCTTATTTTCTATTTATTCAAGATCACAATCATCTCAAAAATCATCTACTATTCATTTTATCTATCTCCACCCTCATACTCCTCTCCATTTCTTCTATCTTAGAGGATGATGTCTTCTCTATTTCATCTCTACTTTTGCCTTCAATCCCATCACTTTTGGCTTCCCTCTGACCCTTGCTCCCTCAATTAACTAACTCATTTATTCAGCAATTTCAGTCACTGGGTGGCTGCCATTCTTCCATGGGCCTATTTCCTCTTGCATTTAAAAATAACAGGTTTCTTCAGCAAGGTATTGTAAAAAGCAGGGATATGGAATCACATGGATTACTTACTCTCTCTCTTAGTCTAATAGCTCTGTGACCTTGGGCTAGTTACTTACTCTCTCTGAGATTATAAATAACATTTGTATAAAGCACCTTGCACAGGGCTTGGCATACAACAGCCTCTCAAATTACTCCCCCATTCTCTTCAAAGGTTAAATTTTATAAATAAGAAATCACCATATACTGCCTCTATTTCCCTGATACGGTTTCATTTTGTAGACTCAGTCTTCAGAATAAAAGCCAGAGTCAGCAAAATGCTATCTCAGATGTACAGAAAATGGTGTTTTGATATCTCACATTTTGAAAAAAGAAAGCGGGGAGAAAAGGCCAGTACTGTGAGCTGTGCTTTCTATTCCTGGATCTCTGGTCAGGCCTCAGAAATCAAGCTGTAAACTCCAATAGATGCCCCCTGCAGTGCTTTCAGAGAAAGAACTGGTTGGCAATACAGATTCAGCACATTTAAAACCAAATTACTTTTGCCTGCATCTAAGAATCCCATTCTTTGTACCTCTCTAGCTACTCTGTTTCTACTGCTCATTACTCCTTTCATGATCTCATCCTATCTTGTGGCTTTAAATACTATGCATATTCTGAAAAGCCCCAGTTCTGTAGTTCTAGCACAGACCCTTCCACTGAATTCCAGTTTATTATATCTAGTTGTTTGCTAAACTTTTCTGCTTGGGTTCTAATAGGAATCTCAAAATTAACATGTCCAAACCCTGTTTTTTGTTTGTTTTTTGTTTGGTTTTTGTTTTGAAGCGGAGTCTCACTCTGTCATCCAGGTTGGAGTGCAGTGGCAAGATCTTGTTTCACTGCAACCTCCGCCTCCTGGGTTCAAGTGATTCTCCTGCCTCAGCCTCCTGAGTAGCTGGGATTATAGGTGCATGCCACCACACCAAGCTAATTTTTCTATTTTAATAGAGACAGGCTTTCACCATGTTGGCCAGGCTGGTCTTGAACTCCTGACCTCAGGTGATCTGCCCATGTCGGCCTCCCAAAGTGCCACCATTGCAGGCGTGAGCCACCGTGCCTGGCCCAAACCCTAATTTTTGATTCCTGTCCTTCCACCCCAAACCCACTTATCTCCCAGTCTTTACCATCTCTATGAAAGACAAATCCACTCTATCTGATATTCAGACCAAATACTTGGGCATAATCCTTAACTTACTTTCTCTCATATTCCACATTCTATATAAAAACAAACCCTGTCAAGCTCTACCTCCAAAATACATCCAGAATCCAATCACATTTTACCACTCCCACTGCTACTATTCTAGTCCAAGTCACCAATATCTCTTGCCTGGATTATTGCTTATTATTATTGCTTCTACAATGGTTTCTTTGCCTCGAACTTTTACTCCTATGCCTACCCCAGCCCCATTGTGGAACTTTCTCACAGAAGCCAGAGTGACTATTTTAAAATTCAAGTCAGATTATGTCTCTCTTCTGTTCAAATTTCTCCAGTGACTTTCCATCTCAGAATACAATTCGAAATTCTTATAACTGCTACAAGTTCTGACATAATATAATCTTATAAGCATTTTATTTCATCTCCTCCTTGACAAACACATCTCTACCGTGATAAGTACATTCTCACTTTAAGACCCTCTGCCTGAATGCTTTTATCCCTGATAGCTGTATGGCTTGCTCTTTTCATTCAGATTTCTCCTGTAAATGTCACCTATCTGAAAAGCCTTCTCTGACAAGTCTACAGAAAACAGCACAATCCCCACTTATTTCACTATTCCTTTTCTCTGCTTTTATTGTTGTTGTTGTTTGAATAGAATTTATTACCACCTACATCTTGTATGTTTGTTGATTTTTTTTTTTTTTTGGAGATAGGGTCTCACTGTGTCTCCCAGGCTGGACTGCAGTGGTATAATCACGGTTCACTGCAGCCTCGATCTCCTGGGCTCAAGCAATCCTCCCACCTTAGCCTCCCAAGTAGCTAGGACTACACGTGCCTGCCTGGCTAATTTTTGTATTTTTTATAGAGATGGGGGTCTCATTATGTTGCCCGGGCTGGTTTGTTGATTTTTAATTTACTATCTGTCTCTCCTCAGTAGACCAGAATCTACATGAGAATAGCAACCCCCTGTGTTTTGTTGGCTGTTGCATTCACAGTGCCTAAAACAGTACCTAGTCTAAACAGACATACAGTAAATATGTACTTACTTATTTCCTACAGTCTTTAACTTTGTTAAGAGTATCTCCATTATACTAGTCTTTCAAGCTTAAAATCCCTAGTGTTTAGCTTAGAATACATTGCTCTGTAAAGAGTTCTCCATTGGTTCTTCCTTCTTTAATAGATCTAACCTTCATCACTTCCAAACAATTCTTACCTAAGACATGCTTCATCCTTGGTAATCACACTTTCATGATCCTGTTTCTTTTTGTTTTTTAAGCAGAGTCTCACTCTGTTGCCCAGGCTGGGGTACAGTGGCACAATCTTGGCTCACTGCAACCTCTGCCTCCTAGGTTCAAGTGATTCTCCTGCTTCAGCCTCCCAAGTAGCTGGGATTACAGGCACGTGCCGCCATGCCCGGCTGATTTCTGTATTTTTAGTAGATACGGGGTTTCACCATGTTGCCCAGGCTGGCCTTGAACTCCTGACCTCAGGTGATCCACCTCCCTCGACCTTCCAAAGTGCTAGGATTACAGGCATGAGTCACCGCGCCTGGCCTCACGATCTTATTTCAAACTTAGATCTTTTTGCCACATGTTCCTACCCTCTCTATTGTATTTTGTATCACAGTGTTAGATTATACTTCCATTTCATTATTTCCCTAAGTTTCAAACTCTTTATATCAGGGTTTCCTAGTGTTGGCTCTACTGACATGTTGGTTTAGATAATTCTCTGTTGTCTGGGGCTGTTCTGTGTGTTGTAAGAGGCTTAGCATTAGCCTTGTCCTCTTTACCCACTAGATACTAGCAGCACCTCCCTGAGTTATAACAACCAAAAATATCCCAAGACATTGCCAATGCCCTCTGGGGCACAAAATTGGCACTGGTTGACAACCACTGTCTCATTTTAGTATTAAAAACAAAACAAAAAAGTTCTATATAATTTTGTTCTCTTTTACATCTTACAATTAGTAAAGCTCATTTAGACTCAAGAAGAAAAGGTTAGGGGCATCTGTCTACAGAATAAAATCTCAATTCCAGAGGTTGAGATTCAAGGTCCTGGACACTATCTCAACTCTTCTACTCAGAATTCACCTTTCCAACCTAACTGGGCTTTCTACTACTCAAAGAAACACAGAACCCCACCCTGCTCTCCTCACTAACTTTCCATTTTACTCCCACATCTCATTCCCCTGAAATAGTTAATTTTTCCATTTTAAAACCCTGTAATGGAGTCAGAGCAATGGATATATCTGCAAAACCTTAATTCTTAATTATTTGTATTGCGCAACAGAGTGATGCCCCTCCAAGAGACTGCTTCCCATCCTGCTACTTTCATCTCTCTGATACCTTCTCTTGTCTTAGAAGTTTTCTAAGATGAGCAGCATATTTATCAAACAGAATTTTGTAGCTTAATAGAGAAATATAAAATCCTTCCACAGAAAAGTTATAAATAAGTTGGGACCACATTAGCCAACTTTCCCTGAAACTCATGCCCCTTTCTGATGCATCAAACTGTCAAAAAACATGCTTTGTGAAAAAATGGCTGTTTTTCACTCTGGCCTAGAAATCCACAAATTATCTTTTCTCAAACAGAAGTCACATCTTTTTTCTCACCTGCTCTCCTGGCTCATCCAATTCTCTCTCTAAATCCTCCAGCACAGTCACCACCTCCTCCCCACTCTCTGGATGCTGCTCCTGCACCCAGGCCTGGAGCTCCTCAGGTAGGATGGTCAGGAACTGCTCCAGCACCAGCAGCTCCAGAATCTGTTCTTTGGTGTGGGTCTCTGGCCTCAGCCACTGATGGCAAAGTTCTCGGAGTCGGCTCAAAGCCTCACGGGGACCAGATGTCTCCTGGTAGCAGAACTGTCTGAAGTACTGGCGGAAGACCTCTCTGCTATGGGTGTTGTTTTTATGCAGGTCCCAATCCTGTCTAGTGGTATACTTCTCTATCTTTACTTCCAAACGTTCATCCTGGTCCACGTGGGCCTGGATAGCCCAAGGAGATGCCATTTTAGCTGTGCCAGAACTACCGGTGTTTCAAGTAAGATCTCCCCTGGAAAATTTATTCCTGGACAGTCCTGAGGAATAAGCCATCATTATTAACACAAACTCCACCATAAAGTAAAACTGCAAATTCTGAGAACTTAACTATGATCTTTGAAATCTGGCCTCCAGGTTAATGTACGATACTTACTCAGAAAAATACTCTGATAGAAAAGACTTAAGATTAGACCAATTTAAAGAGAAAGACTAAGGAAAGGTGCCAAGTTGTTTCAGGACTTTAAGAAGAAGAGTAAGACTTGTTAGTAAACTTATTCTCATTTGGTCCTAAATGAAAGACAAATGGAATAAAACTAACGTTTAGATCAAGTAAACAATAATGATAAAAGGTTAGGACATCCTTAATTAGTTACTTTTATCTTTTGAATGTCCAGATGTCTGGTGGAAACCATGAAATCACAAAAGCAACAAAGTCATGTAAATTTATTTCCTCAGGGACTTAAACTTTCCGCTCCTTATTCTTCATTTATAAAGTGAGAAGGCTGAAGAGGTTACTCTTTAAGCCTTCCCTCTATCCTCGTGGTCTGTGATTATAATCTGAAGTGAGGAAGGCCCTAGGACGCCGGCCAGCGTCTGTGAACCACCACTGTCTAGAAATGTCGGTAAGCGCTGAACCCAAGGATACACCGCCGAGCCAAACGCGGAAGGTAGGTATGGGCCTTACAGCACGGAATTGCTGCAGACTGGGAGCCGATCCCTCATCCTAGTCTCCCAACGCACTTTGGGGAGGGAGAGCTTCCCGCGGATCCACCTGGGGTTGGGAGGACCAGGGTCCATTCTGCACCGGCCAGAGCCGAGGGGCCCAGCAACTGGAATACAGCAATCTTCCGCCCACCTCCTCGCAGCAACCAGAGCACAACATCGCTCACCTGCGGCCCCCGGGGCCAGAAGAGAACTCCCTCCTACAGAGCGAAGGCAGGAGGCCTCGAACCCTTTTGGGACCCGGAACCCATCACAAGTGACCCACAAAGGCCGGAAGCGGCCACGGGAGGGCTGAGAACCAACCCACGTGGGGCGCACTTCCGCGGCCGCTCTAGGAAGGGGGCGAAAGGGGCTTTCAACTCGGTAGTGTTTCCGCGCGTCTACGTGAGAGGAAGGGTGATGATGGCTCTCAGACCGCGGGTAAACGGAACGGGTTTATCTTTGTCCTCTTCTTTACTCAGCCATTGTCCACACTTCCCCCGGCCCGATGGGTGGTCAAGGCTTGTAGAACTGATCTTAAGACAGGGAAATCCCTTGCGTCTCCATTCACTTTGGGATTCTGTGTCTCTGAGGTTAGAGATGCCTCAAAGGGATGTTCTCGGGGGACCTTCTCCCGGGGAGCTTCCCAAATCTGCGCTTAGCGGTGGTGAAGGGATTTCTTCCACACAGACTTCTCAAGGGCCAGCGAACTGGTTTCTGCCGGCTATTTCGCCATCCACGATTCTCTTGATGTTCTGTTTTATGCGCCGATGTATGATTATATGTCAGAAAACCCGGTTCAATGGAAAAACTATTTAAAAAAAGGATAATTTAGTAAATTAGCAAGATATAAAGTTAACACGCTAAAATCAATGGCCTTCATATATGTGAATAATCAATGATAACGAGTTACGAGATATAATGGAAGAGAAGACTATATTTACAATAGCAACAAAAAATTGAAACTAGGAATAAACAAGAAATGAACAAAACTTCTATGGAGAAAGCTTTAAAAAGCTCCTAAAAGGCCAGATGTACATTTAAACAAACAGAAAGCAATATGCGGTTCTTAGAAAGACTCAAAGAGGTCAATCCTCCCTAAATATGTATGCAACTCTAGTATTCCAACAAAAATATCAACAAATACTGTTCTGGAATTAGGTAAACTGATTATAAAGTTCAAGTGGGAAAATAAGAATAGCCAGGAAACCCATGAAAAAGAACAATGGTGAGGGTCAGCCTTATCAGATACTGGAACATACCCATATGATTTTATTGTATTAACAGAGAGAAAGAATAGACCAGAAATAGATCCAGGTATGTAAGGATATTGAGTAAATGATGAAGGGGACACCACAAGTCAACAGGGAAATGAAGAACTTAGAAGTTGTGCTGGGGTGACAACCATTTGTCAAAGGTAAAACTGGATTTGTATTACCCACCACACTTCACAATAGAGATAAACTCTAAATGGATCTGAGATCTAAATGTAAAAAATCCACCTATACATGTATTAGAAGAGAACATGAACAATGATTCTAACACGTGGGAATGGGGAAACATCTAACCATATGACTCAAAATCCAAAACTCATAAAAATAATAAATCTGACTACATGAAAATAAAATGTATTGCTTGTCAAAAAAAAAAATAATAATAAGGAAAGAAAAAGACTTGCAACATATCACAGGCAAGAGCTAGTTTTCCAAACATCTAAAGAGCTCCTAAAAGTTGAGAATAACCAATAATCCAATAGAGAAAATGGCTAAAAGAAATAAATAGTTGACAGAATAAGAAATGCTAGCAGCCCTCAAACATCTGTAAAGATGTTCAGCTTCACTCAAAATATGAACATACAAATTAAAAACTATGCTGACTGAGGTACCATTAGTCATCAGAATGGCAGTGGTCCAAAAGTTTGACAGCATACTCTACTCAAGAGGAAAGAAACTCCTAACATTCTAGTGGGAATGCAAAATGATACCACCCATAGGTAGGAAAGATAATACTACACAGCAGAATTGTATATGTAAGTTTACCCTTTGTTCCTGCAATACCACTTCTAGAAATCCATCTCAAAGACACTTTGACATGCACAAGATTAAATGGGATCGGGGAACGCCTGATTTTTAAAATGCCAAATATGAGGGGATGAAATTGAGAAATAGGAGGAAAAATGGATCAGAGCTTCATCATTGATTGTACAGGAGTTAAGATAACCAAAAATAGAAGCCTGGTATCATCAGAGGATGGTGGTCCCTCCACCAAGACAGGGGACTAAATGACAAGTAGCATTTTGAGAAGAAATTTATGAGCACAGCTTGGCCATGTTAAGTTTGATATCCTAGGGAGCATTATACTGTAGATGTTGCTATTCGTTAACGGATTGGTTCAGGGATTTGTGGGTCTAGGAGTCATGAGAAGAGAGTTAGCTTGAGATCCATATTTTGGAGCCTTCCACCTTTCAGTAATGGTTAAAACAATTAAGAGATTTCATGAAGTGTGTGGTGCCAAAAGACAGCCTAGGACAGATTTCTGGAGTGCCCTTTGCCCCCTACTGCCAGCCCTGTAGATTCTTCTTTCAGGGCATCTGGGGAGAAGGGAGAGAGAGATCCCTCCTCACACCGTGTCAGGGCTCAAATGTCACCTGAAGCCATAGAACATCTCAGAAAACAACAGACAGAGAAATTATTGGACAACAACCTGAATTCAACCTGGAAGTGAACCTCAAGCTCACTTTGGGGTCCTTTTCTAGGCATCTTGAAGGATTTTTGCAATGCAGTCATTTTCCAAGTTTCACTTGGCATGACTTACTGAAAGAAGCTGATATGAAAGTCTCACTTAAAAAGTCAACTTGCACCAAGAATTATTGACTTGTCATAGCTCCCAGGGACCTAGGTGAAATAGTCTACTTTTTGTCACAGATGCAACGTAGCCACAAGAAAAGAGCATCCAAGCACAAAGAGAGCTTAAGACAGAACTCTGAGTAAAACCAATCTCCGTCTTTTGACACTAGAGAAACACAAGGATATAGAGACAAAGAGCAGACAAAATGCATCTCTAGAATATCTTTATTTTAAACAATTTTTGTCTAACGTTATTACACTTTTCGGCCATTTTACTAACCAAATAACTCTAGCATTTAAAAAGGAGAAAGTTTCCTGTGATATACTGATAAGCCTTCTAACTGCACTTAAAAGGGAAAAGAAAGCAGATGTTGAGAGCTAGGACTCAAAGACTAAAAGAAAAGGTAAAACTGTAATATTGGAAGCCTACTTTGTTACTTCATGAAAATGAAAGCATGTATAAACTTGATTAGCTCATAATTGTGCCAGGTTTATTTAGTGAGGTTGAAAGGGGATGGAGACAATTGAGAAAAAGGTTATTTAGGAAATGATTTCAGAAAAGGCTTATTTTTCCTTCAGACTTTAAATCTGAGGTGGATAAAGGTATTGTGGAAAATTAAAGATGGCTACAAATTCTTTGACATTTCCCATCAAGATGTGGGGTCTGTGTCACTTTCCCTTGAATCTGAGTGGGCTTAATCATTAATTTGACCAATAAAATACTGCAAAAGTTATGCCATGATTTCTGGCCTGAGCCTTTGGAGAGCAGCAGCTTTCACTTTTTGTCTTTTAGAACAATTGCTCTTGAAGTCCTGAGCCACCATGGAAGAAGTCTACCAACCCTGCTTTCCAGTGACTGAGTTGCAAGAATCCTTCAAGATGCTGAGAAAATGACCCCAAAGTGAGCCTTATGTGACTCCAAGACCACATAAAGAAACTCTGAGACCACATGGAGATGATTAGCCCAGCTAAGCCCACTTTTCTGGCTGTCCCTGCCAAGGCACTTGGCATGGCAGTAAAACTGTCTTGGATTTTCCAGACAAATTATAATGCCAGATGAATACCACCAAATGACTTTAGTTGACGCCACATGAAACAGAAGAATTTCTCAGCTGTGTCCTCCCCAAATTCCTGGCCCAAAACATGATGGCGTGGTTTATCTCCACTCTTTTGGAGAAACATTTTATGCAGCAATAGATAACAAGATCAGATGTTTACTAGATTATAACAGTTTGATTAGACTATTTCCTAAGAACATTAACTTTCCTTAGTTTCAATGACATAGTCAACATGCAATTTTTAATTTGTAGTTGATATTTAAATTTCCAGTTAGGAAAAAGCTTGATGTTGAGGATTTGCACTAAATTTTAGGCCAGGATAGCAACAATTTTTATGGAAATTATTATGTACAGTATATTTTTTATGGGCTATAGTTACTAACCAATTTCTTTTTTTATCATTTTTATTGTTTATTTATTATTATAATTTAAGTTCTAGGGTACATGTGCACAACGTGCAGTTTTGTTACATATGTATACATGTGCCGTGTTGGTTTGCTGTACCCACTAACTCATCATTTACATTAGGTATTTCTGCTAATACTATCCCTCCCTCATCCTCCCACCCCATGACAGGCCCTGGTGTGTGATGTTCCCCGCCCTGCGTTCAAGTGTTCAAGTTGTTCAGTTCCCACCTATGAGTGAGAACATGCAGTGTTTGGTTTTCTGTCCTTGTGATAGTTTGCTGAGAATGATGGTTTCCAGCTTCATCCGTGTCCCTACAAAGGACATGAACTCATCCTTTTTTATGGCTACATAGTATTCCATGGTGTATATGTGCCACATTTTCTTTATCCAGTCTGTCACTGATGGACATTTGGGTTGGTTCCAAGTCTTTGCTGTTGTGAATAGTGCTGCAATAAACATATGTGTGCATGTGTCTTTATAGTAGCATGATTTATAATCCTTTGGGTATATACCCAGTAATGGGATGGCTGGGTCATATCGTATTTCTAGTTGTAGATCCTTGAGGAATCGCCACACTGTCTTCCCAAATGGTTGAACTAGTTTACAGTCCCACCAACAGTGTAAAAGCATTCCTGTTTCTCCACATCCTCTCCAGCACCTGTTGTTTCCTGACTTTTTAATGATCGCCATTGTAACTGGTGTGAGATGACATCTCATTGTGGTTTTGATTTGCATTTCTCTGATGACCAGTGATGGTGAGCATTTTTTCATGTGTCTGTTGACTGCATAAATGTCTTCTTTTGAAAAATGTCTGTTCATATCCTTTGCCCACTTTTTGATGGGATCATTTGATTTTTTCTTGTAAATTTGTTTAAGTTCTTTGTAGATTCTGGATATTAGCCCTTTGTCACATGTGTAGATTGCAAAAATGTTCTCCCATTCTGTAGGTTGCCTGTTCACTCTGATGGTAGTTTCTTTTGCTGTGCAGAAGCTC